GGGGAGAGATTGTCCCTCAGTATGTTTTGGGCATGGCACAGATCTCATTTCAGGGGTGAAGGGGCTGCTGTGATCCAAATAAAAACAACATTTATAAACTCAATGATAGAAATGAATAATAACAACAGCTTGTAACTTCCCCTTCTCCAGTCTGAAAACAGCACTCTCACCTAGACCGGCCTGCAGCTGTTGTGATTTAAGCCTCACAGCTTCTGTTCCACAAAAAGTTCCCTTATTTCGCATGTGGAAACTGGGTTTGACAAGGATTCAGCTTTTCACATAAAAGTTTCCCACATCAGGTATCTTTAAAGTTTTTTTTTTTTGCCTTTCTTGCCACTCTGCAAAATCATTTATATTTTAATAGAATCTCCCATACAGTGAAGGCTTTGCAGAGCTGCCTGATGCAGGTACACTTGTGACAGACAACTTGTAGTGAAATTAACCTGTAATTAAAATCCAAAGTTATTGCCCATTAAACTTGACAGCAATTCCCTACCTTGTACTCCTGGGCAGCCTCCTCTATGGGAACCACCTTGTGAGCTCTGTGAGCCCGGGATCTGTTGCAAATCACACAGATGGGGGTTTGGTCCCTTTCACAGAACAGTTTCAGAGCCTCCTGGTGTTCCCCACACACCCCGTCCCCTCCTGCTCCCTTTGCTACCTGTAAACTCAGCCCTTTGGCGATTTCTACCATGTTTGCCAGCTGCCTGTTCAGCCTGAGGTTTTTGTTGCACAGTTTCTCTGCACTGAGGGCAGGAGGTGGCTGTATCGGATCCCTCCCAGCACTGGGCGATGCAGGCTCGGCAGAAATTGTGCCCACACTCTATAATCACTGGGTCCTTAAAATACTCCAGACAGATGGGGCATGTAGCTTCCCCCTGGGGACTTTCCACAGGGTTTTCTGCAGCCATGGCTCTCTCTGTACAGAAGAACAAGATAAGTTTCTATTTCCTGAGCTCAGAAATATGCCCCGCCTGCAGCAGCAGCAATTGGGTGTTTTCTTTCCTGGAACTGACCCAGGCTGTTTGGGGAGCTGGAGCCAGGTCACTGGTAACATTCAGGCTCTGGTGAGAAATGTCCCCATAAGGCTCCGATCCTGCAATCAGCCCCCTGGGCTGGGCGGGGGGTGGGCAGCTGTCACTGCGGCTTCACATGGACATCAACTTCTCCTTGTCCTGATAAGCTTACAGAACTGCGGGCATAGGCACCGACTCCATGGGTGCTCCGGGACTTGAGCACCC